TATATATAATTATATATATTGAAATCTAAATACTGAGGAGGACAACGTCTGCGGAGTTTACAGCCCTGCCATGTGACGTTATGTTTTGTTGAAGATTATCATTGAGGAAACTAACTTGTCAAATCCAGCCTCTTCAATTGCTCTCTTTGAGAACTTTTTGAATGTGTGCCTCATTGTTCTTTGCCATTTCCTTCTTTCGCTTCATTTGAAAAGACTCCACAGAGGAAGAGATGCTTTCAGGGAAAAGACGAATTGCTGCAGCCCTCGAGAGCACAGAAATTAGCGTGGCTGAATGTAAATTACCGCCATTGTAAATTATGACAGAGGCGAGGCGACACCCAGATAATATTTTTCTACTGTTCTCACTTCTGCTATTGAACCACAATAATGGAATCAGATGTATTGTTTCATTCGAAGCTCAGCTTTAGAGGGTAAGACGGCGAGTCTGTTCATCGGTTCAGTTACACTGAGTAGTTGTTTATTCAATCCAATCCACTTCAGAGCGTTTATATGTGTTGCTTCTCTTTTCTGTTCTCCCAGTCTTTAGAATGAAACTATTGAACCATGTTGCACTTCCACTCAGTGCAATGCTAAAGGAAAACTAGAGAAGGAAGAGACAGACCGAGTATTGAAGATGTTAGAGTAGGATTGAGGGTCTTTTCCAAAGGAAATGCAACTTTCAGCTAGAAGATTCTGGTCCAGTGTAGCAGCGCCACCTGGTGACAGATTCCCAAAGAAGCGCCACCTCAAACGAATAACTCATTTAAAAGTGAGTTTAGTCATCAACACCCCCCTTGTCGTTCCAAACTCGCCTGATTTTCTTTCCTATTTGAAACCAAATATGATATTGGTTTGTACTAAATGATGCATTGGTCTCTTATTTCATGCAGTTCAGATAACTTAGAATATTGCATGTCTTATAAACTATTTTTATGGCACTTTTATAGTGATTTTTGCCCCCATTACAATTTTACTATTGCGTTTTTGCATTTTATTAAAATGCAATATTTTATAGATTGTTGACTGTAAACTCATGTAGGTTGTTTAAATACAAATATCTGCTAAAAGAGTTTTGCACATTTTTATGAGTACACTAGCATATTAATAACCCTAATGAAAGTGAAAAGTGAAAGTGATGTGACATGTGGCCAAGTATGGTTACCCATACTAGGAATTAGTGCTCTGCGTTTAACCCATCCTGATTGCACACACACAGCAGTGAACACACACTGTGAACACACACCCGGAGCAGTGGTCAGCCATTTATGCTGCGGCGCCCGGGGAGCAGTCGGGGGTTCGGTGCCTTGCTCAAGGGCACCTCAGTCGTGGTATTGAAGGTGAGAGAGAGCGCTGTACATTCACTCCCCCCACCTACAATCCCTGCCGGTACGAGACTCGAGCCCGCAACCTTTGGGTTACGAGTCCGACTCTCTAACCATTAGGCCACGACTTCCCCGTGATAGACATTGCCTTCAATTATTATAAAGAAAATGTGAAGACATCAGAAATAGTGCATACTTTATTCATATATTTTGATGTTTCATACAGAACAGTGAGATCCATTATTTAAAAGCTGTCAACAAGCATATTAATACATATTTTGCCAAAATGCAATTCAATTAATGCAGACTGTGATGAAGTAGTTTTGCTATCGCTTTAAAATTTTATTTTAATTACAATGAAATGTCTGACTGTAAAAAAAAACAAAAAAAAACTAGCAAATAGCTAAATGTATAATAAACAAAATATAATAATGTGAATTAATGCAAGTAGAAATAAAGTGAAGTTAAAACTTACATTTTTAAAATGTCTTTCATACTTAAAAACAGAATATGAAATCAAGGACATTCGAATCATGTTTAAGTTCAGTCAATTGTTACAGAAATCATAAGTAATTGCTGTCAATGCAGATAAACAATACACAAGGCACAAGTTCATTATATTTGGATATCCAAATTCTCCAGAAAAATAAGACAGGCATGTCATAAAACTAAACTTTTAAAACAAAATGAAAAAGACGAGGATGTTATGATGCAAGACAGTCATCATAAACCTCTCTGCTCATACACCTCTCAGAAGATATACAAGTGGTCTAATTTATCGCATATTTCGAGAACACAGTGAGGGCTTTAATAAAGCTAGATCATTTAAGCTGGGAAGGAGATTAGACAGCCTGAGCACTTTCAGTCAAGCGAAGATTTTAGAGCTTGCCATGTTCCTCCAGGCTCATTACATCATGCATTAACTTTTGATCCCCTGTCTGACAGAAAAATGTGAGGCTTGAGCATACATTAAATATCAAATACAACTCTCAGATCAATATATCAAAGCCAGGCCTTGGGTCAGACACAGAAAGGGGTTCAGCCTTGAGAAAAAGCTGTGGCATTGCATATGAAGCAAAAAAAGTCAAAAATGTGCAGAATAATTACTCTGAACAGCGTGAATACAAACTAGCATTATCTTTATAAACATGCAAGTACATATATATCAATAAACAATATAAAAGTATTTGTTTGGTTTTGGTTGCAGTGTTAAGACACAAGAACATCTGTTGATGTGAGACCAAAGAAAATCTGCTGGCTACTTTCTGTCACAGAAAAACAAATGTAAAGTTTACGACAACAAAGTAAGACACAAGTGACGACTAATCCAAGATCATAAGCAGTCCAGATTTAGTTTGGTCTCTGTTCATTCTTTAAGCACCATAGATGTAATATTGACCATCCTTTGGCTCCCCCTGTGGGCGGGGAGATCTACTTGCGGCCCACGGTCTCTGCCAGCTTCTTAAGTCTCTTCTTCAGCTCCAGAGGAAACTTCTCGTAACATTTCTTACACACCGGCTTCATATCAAACTCCACAAACTTGTTCCTAAAACAAAAATGTTGTCATTGTCAAATGCCATTTAGGCCAGAAATATAATCTACAAGTATGCATCCCATTCCAACTAAAACTATTACAAATATTTTTTTTGATAATAGAAATAAAGCTGAAATAAAATTAACATAAAAAATAAAAATGTTGCCTTGAAAAAACTGAAATAAAATAAATTTAGGTTGAAGTACTAAAATTACCAAAAAAAATATTAAAATAAATTGCAGATAAAAATATAAATATTTAAAAGAATAAAAATGACAAAAGCACAAGATAAAATTACTTAAACTAAAATAATAACTGAAAATATTAAAATACAAGCTAATTCAAAATATTAAATACTATAATTGAAGGTTTTAGCACTTACATACATTCATGTTTATCATAGGTTTTTATTTTTAATAAAAACTTTGAAGGCAGTGTCATGCATTGGTTCTATGAGTGACCAAATGTATGAAAAAACATAAAACATTAAGAATATGATAATGATGAATTGAATAGTTATGTATCAATATTAAAATTCTTGTTGATAACAATAACCACAATTATTTTGACATTATGGCTGATAACCAATAAATGGCTGATTTTAATTTGTATTAGATTTTCACATGTCAATAACTACATTAAAAATGAAAGACAATTAATGACAAAGAAATCATTCACTCCAATTGAAGTATAATGGACAGATTGAAAATGTTCTATTGATTTTGAACGGTGTTATTAAAATACTAGTGTTTTCTAAGATTAAGTGAGCATTAGATGATTGTACAGGTATATTTAGCCTCTATATTGGGGGAAATGCATAATTGGGGGAAAATGAGAGTGCATAATTAAATAAGCAATAATAATAAAAAATACAGGAAAGAGTTGGTACGGGAAAAAGTTGCTGAAAAATAAATACATGGTGAGGCTGAAGACACTAACCAATGATAATGAACGAGTGAAGCAGATGAGCATGAAGAAGGAAAAAAAGAGAGAAAAGGGTTACAGACAGACGGCGATGACTTTCTTTCGCCGTTCGCGAGAGTCGTGTTCACGTTTGGCCAAACGCCGCTTCAGCTCTTCCGGCAGGCATTCGTAACAGTGTTTACACACTGGCTTCAGGTCCACTTCCACAAACCTGTCCCTGCAGAGTCACCGTCAGGAACAAGGAAGGAGGAAACCGGAGAAACAAGCGAAAAGAAGGGAAAATTGGAAGAGGAATGGGTTTGAAGCAGGAGAGAGGAAGATAAATGTGCTAGCATTAGAAAGCGAAGGAGAGAATCGAATGGGACAGAAGTAGAGAATAAAATAGTTAGCTAGAGAGAAAGGTTAGTAATGATCCAAAGAAGAACATCACAGCAGCCCAGAGACCCAATTTAAAGACATTTCTGCACAAACTTAAACACAGCAACCGAACAGTCGCTAACAGAAAAGGGACAGGGGACAGATTGTGATATAGGATGAGTATGTATGTGTAAAATCACTTACTTGAGGGTGAGCTTGGTGTTACAAGTCGAGCACGAGAAGCAATTCACACACCAAGCCTTATTCAGAGCCGACACCACTGACAGAAAACACAAAAACAACTTACAACTCACGACAGCAATACCCGGAGCCATAACAACTGCACATCAAATCATTGAAGCTTTAAAGGTTGGGAACTAAATGTCAATATCATGTCAATTAAACAGTGATTACCATCTCCTTCGATCACACGGTTGCAATGGTAACAAACATCACCAAAGAGCTGCAAACAGACAGAACAGATGATTATTGGCGCTTTTCCACTGCGTGGTACGACTCAGCTCGGCACAGCTCAGTACAGTACGCCATGGCACGGCTCGGTTTGCGTTTCCACTGCAGTTCAGTACCGCTTTAGAGGGGGCGGGATTATTCACATGTCGTTATAGTTGCGCCGCCTCTACTACCACGACTCCTAAAAAAAAAAATCCTTTTTCATTCCGCGTCGCCCCATCAAGCTCTCGCTGGATCCGCTCCTCTGCTATCAACGAGAGGAACGTCTGTTCTAAGAGTTAGCTGGAGAGAAAGGTTAGTAATGATCCAAAGAAGTAGGCTACATCACAGCAGCCGAGACCCAATTTAAAGGCACTTCTGCACAAATTTACACAAAACACAGCTACCAAACAGTCGCTTAGAGAAAAAGGAAAGAGGACAGATTGTGATATAGGATGAGTACACATGTGTGTAAAATCACTTACTTGAGGGTGAGCTTGGTGTTACAGGTCGAGCATGAGAAGCAATTCACACACCAAGCCTTATTCAGAGCCGACACCACTGACAGAAAACACAAAAACAACTTACAACTCACGACAGCAATACCCGGAGCCATATCAACTGCACATCAAATCATTGAAGCTTTAAAGGTTGGGAACTAAATGTCAATATCATGTCAATTAAACAGTGATTACCATCTCCTTCGATCACACGGTTGCAATGGTAACAAACATCACCAAAGAGCTGCAAACAGACAGAACAGATGATTATTGGCGCTTTTCCACTGCGTGGTACGACTCAGCTCGGCACAGCTCAGTACAGTACGCCATGGCACGGCTCGGTTTGCGTTTCCACTGCAGTTCAGTACCGCTTTAGAGTGGGCGGGATTATTCACATGTCGTTATAGTTGCGCCGCCTCTACTGCCGCAACTCCTGAAAAACTTTTTCATTCGCGTCGCCCCATCAAGCTCGCTGGATCAGCTCATCTGCTATCAACGAGAGGAACGTCTGTACTTCCTCAACAGACCACGAAACAGACACTTTTTGGTTGTAAAAAAAGGTGCGCTCGTTCAAAACAGTTGCGTTCGTTCCTTTGCTGGCTGTGCTGATTTAAATCTAGCGGTTCTGTTGTGTTTGTGTCGCAAGTTCAGTGACGCAGGTAGTGACGATTCTCTCCGGCCAATCCATGATCAGCAGAGTTTACACGTCACGTTTTGGTAACGGTACGGTTCACTTGGAACCTCAACCGAGGTGGTACTAAAAAAAGTACCAGGCACTGTACCCAGTGGAAAACCCCCCAAAAGTGAACCGTACCGAGCCGTACCATGCAGTGGAAAAGCTCGCTTAGTCTCACATAAAAAGCTGAAAGTTTCATTATTTTATTTTATTTTGTTTTATTTGGATCAAAAGGGGCTTTGAAAGAGGAGTCAGGCATGTGTTACCTGGTTGTAGTGAGTCTCGCAGTAAGCAAGTCCTTTTCTCTCATAATGACGGTGTCCCAGGAAAGGCTTCTCGCACTTGGCACAGACAAAATGCTGTAGACAAACAAACACACAAGCTGTGAGCATGCAGTTCAATTAAACACTACATAATTCAAGATTTTTTTTAATGTTTTAAAATAAGTGTTTCTACTGTAATATATTTTAAAATGTAATTTTTTTTTCCTGTAATGGTAAATCTGAATTTCCAGTCTTTAGTGTCACATGATCCTTCAGAAAACATTCTGAAATGCTTATTTGCTCAAGAAACATTTCTTCTCATTAATATTGAAAACAGTTGTGCTGCTTCATATTTTTGTGGAAACTGTGTTCTTTTTCCAGGATGCTTTGAACAAAGTTCAAAAGAATGGCATTTATCTTTTGTAAAGTTATACATGCCTTTACTGTCACTTTTGATTAGTTGCATTCTTATTCCCTAATGCATCCTCATTGAATAAAGGTGTTAACTTAATCACACAGCAGTCACCTAATGCTCACAACACAGAAAAAAGTTGGTATAATATTGTGTTAATTAAGTAATAATCAAATATTATTCAATTAGGTATAGGACCATCACAATATCAACATTTCAAGAGTCAAAACCATTTCAGTAGCACAGCAAACAATAATATGCTATTGTTATTTTTTTTTAAACGCACTCCTTTAAATAAACAGTTAAACATCAATAAAATATTAACAAATTAAATATGGCAACAGCATGAAACCTTCATTTTTCTCAATTTAAGTGTTCATTTTTCAAACAAATATTCAAGAAAGCAGAGAGTACTAAAATAAAGAACAGATTACAAACAATAGAACAAACGCAAAGAAATAAATCTGATAAAATGTGCTTGAAGATTAGTACTTAATTACTGAAGTATCCAAGTAAACATCCAGAAACTGTAATATCACTAATAAAACAAAATTACCTGGCATAGTTTTCACTGCATGATTATTATATAATACACGTTAATACACTGAGCCGTTGCAGTTTGCCTGCCGAGGGCTTATTCATGGTACTAAAGTTATCCAGCTGAGAGCAGTGAGTGCTTCTCTTTTTCTTTTATATTATTGTTTGATTAAAGGGGTCATATGACGTTGATAAAAAGAACATTATGTTGTGTATTTGGTGTAATGCAATGTGTTTATGCGGTTTAAGTTTAAAAAAACACATTATTTTCCATATAATGTACATTATTGTTTCTCCTCTATGCCCTGCCTTTCTGAAACGCGTCGATTTTTACAAAGCTCATCGTTCTAAAAAAGTGAGGTGTGCTCTGATTGGCCAGCTATCCAGTGCATTGTGATTGGCCGAATACCTCAAGCGTGTGACGGAAATGTTACGCCCCTTAACATACTGTGATGCCATCTCCCAGCAGGACGAGACTCGGTCCAGCTGCTCTGCTCGTGCACATCCCATCATCGGTTCTCTTTTAGCAGTTCAGTCGATGTACTGTTAAGAGGTACTGAATAACTCGGGATATTGGTTTATTTCGCGTCAGAGGGAGTGTCAGGAACGTTTATAAACCGAATAATTTAAGTAATTTGTGGATTAGTGCGTACTGGAGACGCGAACCGTTTCAAACGATTCAGTTCGATTTGGTGAACTGGTTCGACTGGTTCACTAAGAAGATCCGGTTAAATAGAACGATTTGTTTGCGATCCGGACATCACTAGACGAGACAAAACCAATAAAACCCATTA